TCCTTTTTAGGTATATAATGTCTTAGCAATTCTCATCTGTGTCAGTGAACCGGTAGATCATGTACATGGGGACAATGGCCATCAGGAACAGCACAATGCCCATCATGAGCTCTATCTTTGTCTTGGTTGTGAAAAAACTACTCCAGTTGCTGTTGTTGTTGTTGTCATTCTTCTTGAGATGGTTGATGGGAGGATGGGCATTCCTGTACCATTGCTCAGTCTACCCAGCATTGCATCCTTCCTGAGTTGCATGTTCATGTTCACACATGCAAGTACATACACTATCCCACCTCAGATGTTGTGCTGCACTTTGGTGTTGTGACTACAGTGTGGCTGAGTTGGTTTGTATAGGATAGTGACACAGATATTGCCACTGCACAATGATAGACAGTGCAACTGACACAAAAAAAGTCTACGCCACAGGGCTATATGTATATCACTAGTGTTGGTGTACCCCTCCTTACCAATAACAATAAACATATGACACACTTGTTGTTGTTGTTCTTGCCTCTGGGAACAATGAGAGGCTCAAAGAGGAAGACAGCTGCCAATCCAGGAGGATCATTCTTGGATAGGAATGGTCAATGCCAATAGAAAGTGCCATGTACATCCTTGGAGTGGCTCCTGGAACATCAATCAAGAACATTAAAAAAGCATACTGTAGGGCTTTGCTGGTCTATCATCCTGACAAGGTCTCCAGTGATAACAAGCCCACGAGGATTAGCAGAATGGGCAGAGAAGGTGACATAAGCATCACTCTGTGTGCATAACATTTGACATGGTCAAGATTTCATATGAGGTTTTGGAGGAGGACACAAAGATGAACAACAGAATTGTAATGGGCAAGAGGAGAGAGTATGCCATGGAAGATCCCATGGACTTTTTCTCTGCTGATTACACTACAGATGAGAGAGGTGGCCACGGACATGAATGTATGGACTACTATGGACGCAAGAGGGCCAGGACACGAGAGGTTCATTCCAAACATGGAATTGCTATCGGCTTTCGGATTCTTGGCGACTACCTTCAGCTCCCTGCCGACGACTTCTGTCCGTATGTCCATCTCCAGGGATCGTACACCCCTGTCCACGTTGATGCGCTCTATGAGCGAGACGAGTTTCTCGACGTAGTTGGCATTGGCGAGGAGTCTCGGGGCATCGCTGACCTGGCCAGCGTCGACGTCGATGCGGGACATGGAAAATACGGGGGAGAAGAAAACGACCCTCCCGGAGGAGAAGGACGACTTGATCATATCATTGTAACCAAACAGCTTGGAGTAGCGATCCCAGTTCCTGTTTATGTAACTCGGGCCACTCTTGCCGTCGTAGTCGCCGTCACTTAGGATTGTATCCTCTCTGCTACTTCTCTCCAACTCTGGGTTGGAATAGGACAGGGAGGCAACGACCCTCAGTTCATTGTTTCTCTCTTTTTCGGTGGCGGGTACATTGACCGTGTAGGATCACATGAGTGCTGTCACCAGTTTCATGTCAGCACACGCCCCATTTTCAAAACGGACACACGGCCCAACAAACATGCCCAGCACGGTGTCGTTCACCTTGCCATCGCTGCTCAACTCAAACAGTCAGAAACCAGTCCATACCATCTGATCCCTCAGATCCCTCATTTCCATCTTCTTCATGTACCAATCCATATATTCCCTGAAGCTGAACATTTTCTGCGGCCTCTCACAGTCACTGCCAGCAAAGTGAGTCAACATGTCAGGAGGAGTCACCTGTCCACCTTCCCACCATGGTGACTTCACCTTGTCCTCGTAGCGCCATGCGCCGAGGTAGACGTGTGTGGTGGACGTGTCCAGCCTCTGGATGTGCGCGACAGGGTCGAAATCGGGGTCGTGTGGCATGGGGAGCATGACGAGGTTGGAGCTTTCGGGAGGCTTGAACTTGATTCTGTCATCCTTTTTCACGTGGGATGCGTTTCCCATGAACGGATGGGTGGACAGGTGTCTGCACACGAGAACAGGAAAGATCTCTTCTTGGTTTCCCTCGTCCGGGTGCCATTCCACGTCAAGGACGGCGTGGACCCTGATATCCACAGGGGGTGCCCTGTTCTCGGAGGAATACGGTCCTGACGTGTTGGAGAGCGTCACAGCGAGAGAGTGATTGCCATAGAAGGACTCCATGTTGGTGGTGCTGACCCTGTTCAGGGCAAACATCAAACGCCACTCCTTGATCACATCGTCCAGCGGTTTGGAGTCCACCGTCCTTTTGAACCTCAGCCTGTTCTTCTCCAGTGCATTGTATATTGTCTCGATTTGACGGGATCGAGCAGCGGCGGTGCTAATGTTAATTGTTGTCCTTTGTATGTGTGCGTGTGTGGTATACAGGGGCATTTATCATTAATATGCACGTCCTATTCCATTTCTCGTTGTGTGTAATTGGGACACAGAAGGTAACATGCATACAATAAACAACAATGGTAATAAAGGTGCATAACCTTGCATAAAAGATCAGCCTGCCGGGCGTGCACATTGCTCGCCGCCACAGAAATAAGGGCAGTATTGAGCAGGCGTGTCATTTCTCGTTTTTTGTTTCCATCACCATCTAGGGTAACATCATTACATTACCATAACCATAACAATCATCACGATCGAGAAAAAATGCCAGAGTTCAATCCCGTTCACACCTCCTCATCCGGGAGTCTGTTCGGCGACGTCCGCACCGAGTACGCCAAGATATGCAAGCGCCTTTTGGTGGGCCGTCATCATCGCAAGGACGCGCGCGAGGTCCACGCCCCCAAGCGTACCGAGCCGGACCTCCTGGAGAGGAAGATCTACGGCGGCAAGTACACCGTAAAGCAGTACGACTATGGCAACGTGATCCGAAAGGTGATCAACGACCAGAGGAAGGAGGAGGAGGGAAGGAAGAAGCTGAGGCTCGGGGCTCCCATGGCACTCGAAGAATACTACTCGCCGTACATCGAGACGGGCTTCTCCCTCGTCGACGGCGACAAGAAGCTCAAGGATCTGAGGGCCGCGCTGTGCAAGCTCGACGGGTTGGGGTTCAGGCGCTCGCTCCATCAGATCGCCTTCCATGAAGCCTTCATCGCCGCGTGCATAGCCCAGATCTACGGCAAGGACTTCCTCAGACACCTCGTCCGCATCACCCAGGAGAACGGGTTCTCCGATCTACGGTCGGAGATCGGCGTCGTGTGCCCGCGTCGTTGGGGCAAGACCACCGCCGTGTCCATGTTCGCCGCCGCGTTCATGTGGACACAGCCGGACGCAGAGATCTGCATCTACTCGGTGGCCAGGCGAGCCTCGGCCATGCTCCTGCTCAAGGTGCTCCAGATGGTGAAGAAGCTCTCGGGAGACGACGAAAGCATCATCGTCACGATGAACCAGGAGGAGCTCAGGATCAAGACCATCAACGGAGGCACGGCCGTGTGCAGATCCTACCCAGGTCTCCCCAAGGTACGACCAGCGACCACCCTTCCATATTATCATTTCTTGAATGTCGCACTCCAATATCCGTCGTCGTCGTCGCCGTCGTCTCCTCCGTGCTGCAACGATAAAACAAGGTACGCGCAACCTCATTACACAAGCCCCCATCCCCCTTTTTGTTGCCGTCTCTCGCACAGACTAATGCACACAGGTACACGAGCGCGCGAGCAACAAGAAAAAGTCGCAATTGGTTTCTGTGTGTGTATTGTATTCTTGCGTGTGGCCATACAACGACAACAACACCGATGCCAAAAGATAAACAATACAACCCATCGTAACGTTCCCTTTATTTTCCTACTCTCCTCCCCGTTCCCATATCACACGTTGATGAGCGCGTCCACATTGTGCATTGGGAGGGCGTTGCTGAGAGCCGTTCTGAATTCCCTGCTCAAGGGCTCCCTTTTGGTTTCCTTTGCGGTGTACAGCACCTTCGGGATCATGGATGTCTGTATCCTGATGAGGCTGCTGTTGATAGGGTTGTTGTTGTATCTGTGTGTGCCAGGGTCTGATGGTGTGACGAGGAACGAGTCGTTGCCGTCAGGGTACAGGTAGTTCATGATCATGTTCATGGCCTTTGGGTCATTGAAGAGCATCTTCTCCACGCGTTCCATCGCAGAGTGCAGGCCCTCTCTTGTCGAAGCTGCTCCTCAGTTCCTTGATTCCACTACTGAGGGTGTTGAGGTGCTTCTTGTCGTTGCGCTTGTCATGAGCGTTCGCGTATTCCTCTGCCGCGTCAAACAGCTTGGCGAGGATGGGTGCAAACATCATAATGATCTTAATCAGGCTCGAGGTGAACGCCACGGCGTTCTTCTCAACGTCCGTGACGGGAGCTGCCCCTGATCCGGTGCGCATCACCTCCCTCTTGGTCTTCCTTCTCACGTGGTTGATGCAGTGCGAGGCTTCTGCTGCACAGGATG